GTTTTAAGGTGGTAAAACAATTTTTTTTATTTATTCCTTTCTACACACTTTGCAGATTATTTTTTTCTGCACTCCACGTGTTTAATCAGTGCGCTCCAGCGGGGTGACAATCATCCCGTTTATGCTTTATCTTTTTTTTTTTTTGAAAGACAGTCTGACTTTTCACCCTTTCCCACAGCGCTTCTCCGCTGTTCAAGGAGACAGTAAAGGCTGAGTTTTATAGTCGCGCTTTGGAGAGACACGAAGAGCCAGAAACAAATTCGTTGTGTGTGTCATTATACTCGGCCAGTCCTGATTCTGAAAGACACTCGGTTACATTTTGACATTATTTTAAGCAGAAACTACTGAAGAAGCTAAATCTGACAGAGATTAAATGAATAACCTCAACTTCTCCTCTTCCTCTTCATCAGTGATCGAAGAGGCCAACTGGCTGACGTTACCCGAAGATGTTCAGAAACCTGGAGACGGTTTTGATGCCGTCATCTGCCTCGGGAACTCATTCGCACATTTACCGGACTTCAAAGGTTCGTAGAGAACAAAGAGTGTGGGAATTAATCCATCTGACTGTTTTTAATCCTGCTGACTGTTTTTAATCCCGCTGACTGTTTTTAATCCCGCTGACTATTTTTAATCCAGTTGACTGTTTTTAATCCAGTTGACTGTTTTTAATCCAGTTGACTGTTTTTAATCCTGCTGACTGTTTTTATTCCAGCTGACTGTTTTTATTCCAGCTGACTGTTTTTAATCCCGCTGACTGTTTTTATTCCAGCTGACTGTTTTTAATCCTGCTGACTGTTTTTAATCCCGCTGACTGTTTTTATTCCAGCTGACTGTTTTTAATCCCGCTGACTGTTTTTATTCCAGCTGACTGTTTTTAATCCCGCTGACTGTTTTTATTCCAGCTGACTGTTTTTAATCCTGCTGAGTGTTTTAATCCAGCTGATTGTTTTTAATCTCACTGTGGGTTGCAGGAGACCAGAGTGACCAGAAGCTGGCTCTTCACAACATTGCCAGCATGGTGAGACCCGGTGGGATCCTCATCATCGACCACCGCAACTACGACTACATCCTGGAGACCGGACGGGCGCCACAGGGCAAAAATATTTACTACAAGGTACAAGAATCAACTCAAACACCAGTTTTTACTTCAAAATGTATACAACAAGATTTTTCTTTTTTGTATTTTCCTGATTTGTGCAAAACTACGACATGGACCATTTTTTATTTTAAATCTAACAATTTGCTTTAAATACAGTGAAGAAAGAAAATACATGTTCTTTAAAACATTTTTACTTATTAGTTGGTCGACCAAAAAAAAAGCTTCAAATATTTAAACTCAAATCAAATATTTGTTTCTGTAAATTTTGTGGGATTAGTAATAGTTATTAGCTCAGACAAATAGGTTTATTCAGACAACTTGTGGCGTCGTCAGTCTTGGCTGTAAATGAGATTCCACCTTTTCTATTATTCAGGAACACTATTAATTGTCTCATTTATTAGACAGAACTTTTCCTGGAAGAGTTTCTTTGTTCTCGTTCCAAACTTTCAGCTCAATCTGTTCCTTGAACGCAGACAGTTCTGCCTCTGAACGCTTGATCCTCGGCAGCAGCTGAGTTTGAGGCGTAAAATCTCTGCAGAGCTCAACCGGAAGACGGGAGATTTTCACTGAAGGCGCTGCAGCAGAACCACAACAAAATTAGATTTTTTTTAAACAAAACAAAAAAAGTTTAAAACGACTTGTGGCCTCTACATGACATTTTTTTATATTGAAATATAAAATCTGCTCAGGCACAACAGCAGGTGCCAATTTCCTTTCAAACAACTTCTATATTTTTAATCCAGTTGAAGTTGGATCATCCAGCTGGAGCGCCTGAATCAAAGTCTAAAGTAAACAACTGCTTGTCTTAGAAAATCTACGTCTGATTCCTCTTTAATACCAGAGAGTCTGCTGCTTTTATTCAATCACATCTCAGAATCAGATTAACTCAGCAGACGGTGAAGTGATGATTTATAAACACCTAAAACTTGCCTTAAAGAATAAAAAAAAAACAGTAAAGTGTTTTTAATAAAATGTTTGTGTTGCAGAGTGATTTAACTCAGGACATCACCACCTCGGTGCTGTGGGTCAACAGTAAGCCTCATATGATCACTCTGGACTACACCATCCAGGTACCTCAGACCACGCTGCAGAAACTTCCTGGAGTCAGGTGGGTCCGCTTCACTTCACCCCAGATTTAACATTTGGACGAGTGTTTTTAGCAGCTCAATCATTGGTGTGACATCATCAAAATGTGACACACGAGAAAACTGAACTTCTGTTGTAGATTAAATCTGAAAGAGACACTCAAAGTGCAGTCACGTGGTCTCAAATACTCAGTTTCATGAGACTGCAGCTGAAGATTCATGTATTTCACATGGTCTCCGTACAGTCAGAGCTCAGTYAGACGTCCCCTTAAAGAAAGAAAAACATCAGTTCAGTCCCATCAAGTACAATCTTGTAAGAGAAGGGGGTCTCTGCAGTCACTGAGGGGGTGTTTCTTAAGCGTYGTTTGGGTAAGTCYTGATTGGTCYGATTAATTTGTGGGGMAAGTTAAAAAATAAATTATTGGTAATTAGCAAAAATGTTCGACTACAAACTTCGTGTGGCCGGCGCCTTCCTGTCTCGGGTTAGGACTAATATTAATCTTCATAATCAAAACTAACGATCTGAATAGCCTCTATGCCACGGACTTCCGTTCTAGCACTTCCGCATTCTTTTGCCACACACCGGTCTTCCGGTTCGCAGGCAACACTGTTAGCAAAAGATTATTTCACTCGACAACGACTCTTAATGTTCTCCACAGTACAGAATTAGCATATTACATGTACCAACATTAACACAGGACACGTACAGGTGCAGCCAAGTGGGAAAAAATCACTCCAACGTGGATTAAAGCCATAAAAACAAAGGAAAGATYTTATTTTTTATGGTTCCAGAATTTAGCCMTTTTCGCTGTTTTTTGGCTGCTTGTTCTGTGAATTTTTCCTGTACAGCTGTGACACTTATATTGTTGGAAAGAGCAGAGTTTAGGCTTTAAATTGWTGGGCTACTTGTGTGGTTTGGATCATGTTCCCCGACGTTGGAGAACCGAATAGGCAGGGGTTTGCTGCTCGTGTTACTCAGAGGGAGGGGGGGCGCTTGGGTTTTGTCTACGCTGTAATACACTCCAACAAGTTTTTAACTTTTGCATAAAACTCATGAAAAAGTTGCATAAAATAATTTCATACTCCGTATAACACAAACGCACACACATACCCCTACCTTATGAAGAATCTAATGTTCTTGTCGGAAGCAGCAAAACGGTGAATGACTAACAGCTGCCTCAGCGTCAGGCTCTCAAACTGTTCCCATAGCTGGTGGATTTTCTCCCAGATAATATCATTTACCTGCAGCACTAAATCCACAACTGCAGAGTTTGGAGTAGCGGCATTATCGTGATCCTTAGAACGTCTCTTTACTGGCTGCTGTGTTAGCTTCCTCCTAGCTGTCCTCTGGAGGTGGTCTTGGCAGTAAAAGGGGATAAATGTACATCTCCCTTTTGTAACCTCCATCTTCTCATTTCTCTTGAATATCCTCAGGTTAGAGATGCCGATTACAAACGCGAGCTTGAGCTTTTATAGCTAAGTTTTCCCTGTATTGATATGATCCATTGCCTTTACTCCTCATCAAGAGGAAAATGGAGAAAAACTAACCTATTGTACCTGCTGGTTAGTGGACACAATGGCACACAAGAGAACTCACGTTTTATTCCATTAGCTAACAGATGCTTTAACTTTTGTGACTTTCTCACAGACTAGTACTAGGAGCTAACGCTTAAAAACAACAGGCAGTAGACAGGAAGCGGAAGGGAGATGTGTGGCAGGAATTTTAACTGAAGTACGTCATCAATGCCCGTGGCAAATAGGCTACTGTTACATTTCTCCACCGGCTGCCGGCGTTTATCCAACTGAACTGTTTTGATTTGTTCAAACTAGGGGTGTAAGAAAATATCGATACACTGAAATATCGTGATATTTCATTTCCCGATACTGTATCGATATTCTAAGGCCCTGTATCGATTTTTAATTAAGGTTTAAAATGTCAACTTTCTTGCCAACCGTTCATTTTTATGTTGTAGTTCAGCCTCTGACCACTAGTTGGCAGCAGTGAGCCAGACATTTGGCTCCTCTACCTCTTGAGCGCCAGGGAGT